TTAACTCTAGAAAGTGCACGCATATTTTTAATCTTCATTGGAAGGCATTTTGCAGACCTCTCAACTGCTAATACAATAAAGCCACGTGAAGAATTGTCAGAGTGAAGTTTTGACTTCACCTGGAGTGGGATCAGGGGCTCAGTGTTTCTCAGCAGCTACCAGAGGATGCCAATGAGATTGGTGTCTGGACCACACACTGAGGGCAGGTTACTCTTCTGCCTTGGTGAACTCAGTAGAACAAAAACAGTTAAATTGTTAGTCTGAGTAAGATCGTACATGCTGTTGTTGGAACCACACAAGGAAATAGTTTGGATTTTCTTCTTTTAAAGCAGCCTGGTTTTTGATACTTCATTCCATGAAAGTAGAAACTGATGGAGAGAAAGTTCCCAACTATAGTGATTCTCTATAAGGGTAACTCATGTCTGTACGTCACATACACAGCAGATCTTATGGGTCATCAGCTTTGTCATTCAAAAATGAGTTTCCCTTGTTTTAATCCTTCTTGTATCTTTTTTTTGTCTTTTTATTTTATAAAATCAAAACAAAATAAAAAAAAATGGTAAGGGCCAGAGAGATGGTTTAGAGGGCGAAAGTGCTTGCCATGCAAGCCTGACTACTTGAACTTTATCCCTGGGACCCATAATTAAAAAACAAACAAAACAAAACAAAAACAGGATCAGGAGGGGGTAGGGGCTAGAAAAATGGCTTGGCAATTAAGAGCGCTTGTTGCTCTAGCAGAAGAATTTAGTCTGGTTCTCAGGACCCACCTTGGGTGGCTCAACCACCCTAACCCCATCTCAGAGGGATCAGATGCCCTCTTCTGGTCCCTGGGGTCACCTGCATTCCTGTGCACATAGCTACACACAGACATACATCCACAGAATTAAAACTAAGATAAAATCTTTTAAAACAGGGCAGATGCGGTGGAGCACATTCGCAGTTCTCGAATTCCTATGGTGAGAAGAGAGATAGAGATGGGAAGAGTGAAATCTGCTGGATGCTTGTGGGCTGAAGTCTGGAAGCCCACAGAAGCAGGAGAGGCCCTGCCTCAATAAGGAAAACAGGAACCAACCCCTGAAAGTTGTCCTCTGGCCCCCTACATGCACATGTGCAGACACACACACACACGCAGACATTTAAAACTAAGACAGTGAATAACATAGAATGCTTTAAGATGAATCAATTATACATCACTATAATATATTGCAAATATAAAATTGTTGTTAATTAAGGAACCAGGACCGGTGTGATATAGCACAAGCCATGGAGAGCATATTAATCATAGTTTATTATAGCGAGACTGATAGGGGGGAGACAGACATGACAGAGAGAGTAAGGTAAGGGAGAAGATGAGATGAGAAAGGAGAGTAAGTGGGAGTAAGTGGGCAGGGGTCTGTCCTTTTAAAGGAGTCCTTTGCACCTGCATGCAGACTGGTTCTCATGGAACTCTGGACTGGCCAGAGTGCTGCCTGAGTGCATTCTGCCAGGTAACAGGGCAGGCCAGAGTAATGCCTGAACCTTTCAATAATACTTTACTAATTAAAATTTTCTTTGCAATGGCTTCCTGTGTTCTGGAAACTGAACATTAACTTTTTTTTCTATTTATTTTTTTAAGATAAGTTGTCATTACATAGCTCTGGCTGTCCTCGAACTCACTATGTAGACCAGGGATAACCTTAAACTCACTGAGATCCACCTGCCTCTGTCTGCCTCCCAAGTGCTGGGATTAAAGGTGTGAACCACTACGCCCTTCTCAGTGATCATCAAGATGTTTAAGATGGCAGTCAGGGCTCTCTAAAATCTAGCCAACACCAAGAACCTTCCTGAGTTTCTTTCACTGTTCTGTTTGGTTTTCTCTCTAATGGAAATGACTATTTGCTATCCCATAATGATGCTCAGATGTTAGTGAATTGTTAGAGATTGAGATTGTTTTAACCAATATACAATTATGGGGGAGGGGGATACAGTGTGACCTGTGACCTGGAGGGTTTGTTAAAATTCAGATTCTCGAGTCCCATCAACCGACTTTCTGAATTTGTGGGTCTTTGTTGGTGCCTAAGCATTTGCACATCTAACGCCTCCCTGTTGACACTGCTAGTACTCCCCCAGGGGTGACATTTGAGAGATCACTAGTTTGGTCATTTTCATTAAGTCCAATGGGAGAAGTACGAGTGAGACAGATGTCACCCTTGTATAATACAAGAACTGTCCTTTGAAGCGAAGCCACATTCTCTCCTCAGACACTGCACAGCTCATCATTTTTGTCCGAGTCAAAGCTGAAGTGTGTGGTGATATCTCGTTTGTACAATCAGGAAAGCTTGCCTGAAGATCAGAGGGCAGAGCTAGTTATTAGGTAAGCACAGAGGTCTGGAGGGCTGTACAGACAGACAGGAAGTGAGATGGCTGGGCAGAGAGAGGAATATAGGAGGGGGGAGACAGGAACTTGGTCTCTTTTCAGCGGAAGATTTCGTAGCGGTAAGAGCTCTAGGGAATGCTCTGCTTCTCTGATCTTTCAGCTTTCACCCTCTAATATCTGGCTCCGGGTTTTTACTATTAAGACCTATTAGAAGGCGTGTTACAGAAGTGCTTGCATGGTTGTCCATCAGCACGTATAAATCGCCCCAAGCCATTTCTCTAGTCTCATCTTCCCCAACTCCCTAACTCCTGTTCTAATGCAGCCACATTGACCTCCATGATTGTCTTTGGACAGAGTCGGCACCTTCCTGTCTTGGAATACTTGCTTTAGGTGTCCCCTCTGCCTAGACATTTCTCATTGTCTTCAAATCTTGGCTCATCTTACCTATCCAAGCATGAGACCCAACTCCCTTCTTGTCCTGCTCAGTATCACACTTTGTCATTCCTCTTCCTGCTGTACTGTGTGACATTGTCCTTCCTCTTCCTACTGTACTGTGTGAAATTGCCCTTCCTCTTCCTGCTGTGCTGTGTGACATTGTCCTTCCTCTTCCTGCTGTACTATGTGACATTGTCCTTCCTCTTCTGCTGTACTGTGTGAAATTGTCCTTCCTCTTCCTGCTGTGCTGTGTGACATTGTCCTTCCTCTTCCTGCTGTACTGTGTGACATTGTCCTTCCTCTTCCTACTGTGCTGTGTGACATTGTCCTTCCTCTTCCTGCTGTACTGTGTGACATTGTCCTTCCTCTTCCTGCTGTACTGTGTGAAATTGTCATCCCCACTCGCCATGATCTACGTTTCCTATTTTGGTAATGCCAGCACTTAATACCTTCTTATATTTTTGGTTGTGAGCCTGTCCCTTTAATGGAGTCATCTCTCCAGCCCATTATTACCTGACATTATATACTTAGCAATCGTATTTACTGCTTGTCTCTTGTACTAGAATATATATCTTCCCGGGTAAGGATTTCTGTTTTGTTCCCTGATGCTTCCTAAGCTCTCAGCACATAATAGGCCCTCAATAGATAGTCACCAAATGAATGGATGGATGGATAAATAAGTGAATACATTAGGTACACTGAACAGTGTTATATTTGAAGAAAATATTATACACATTAGAAAACGTTGCCTATTTTCCTATGAGAGCTATCTAGGTTATTCAATGACAAATGCTTTTTCTTTTCCTCTTTAATTTGCTGGGTAATGCACTTTGATTTTTAGACATTTGGACTAGTGGTCTGAGGCTATGGGATATGCATTTATACATATACACATTCCCACCTCTTTAAACACACCTAATACAAATGGTGTTGGGTTGAACATTCTCCATATTGAAGCACTTTTCTGTGCAGTTCTTTTAGTCAGCACTTTAGGTAAGAATTTTTTGTTTCAGTTCCAATAGTACACATAAGATAAAAATGAATCTTAAAAAAAATAGCTACATCTTCAAAATCCGCTGCACTCTGAGGCGGATTCAGAGTTGCAAGGAAACGATGAGCTATGCTGTTCTCTACCCTCCACTGCTCACGAGACGAAGCTTGCCACAAGAAACCCACCAAACTGCGTGTGGCGATTTCACCATCTCCCTCAAGTTCAAAACATGTATTTTTAGTCCAGGCTGGCCTCAAACCTGTGATCCCCCTGCCTCCACCCCCTTCAGCAAATCCTACCAGCATGTGCCATCACGATCGGCTAAGATATTATATATTTTTAAGAGAAATGTGTTTTTTCCTTTTAAAAGGGGGGCTGGGTAGGGTGGAGTGGGGTTGGGTGGCGGTGTCCCAGAGTGCTGTTTCCCATTGTATTGATCTCTTCACGTCATTGATTTCAAGCCAGAGTCCTCATTAAAATAAAGGACATGATCATCAACCACCATTGACAGGCAAGTGGTTTCTCTTGTCTAACAGCCTCTAGTTGAGAGGCCTGCAGGTCCATCGTGGTTATTGAAGCTTTGCACCCCAGTGGACGATGCTTTGGCTCCCTCTGCCTGCTTCGTACTCACATATGGCAATGCTACACACGGGAAGCAGACCTCTTAATCTACTCTCTTCAAGTGAACTTCTGGGAGCTATGCCAGCAGAGAAGCAGAACCTACCTGTGCATCCCGCGTTTTAAGAGAGAACATAAAACTATTACTCCCTGCATTAGTCATGACGACAGGGTACACTTGAGCAGTGTCAGCTGAAATACATTCATCATGGCATGAAAATCCTTGGTTTTTTTTTTCAGGTGTTCAAGGTCACATAGCCAAAGTGTAGGTGACCACTCAATTCCATCAGCATATTCTTACTCACTGTGTCCTCTTTACTGATATTTCCCCCCGTCTTCATTGCTCTTACTAGGTCTCATGTTCTCTTGTGGCGCTAAGGAAACTTCTTTCTCGGGGGAAGGAAGGGAGATTCCCTTCATGAATATTAGACTGTTTTGACTGAACAGCTTGAAAATTCTTGGCTCCTATTGATAATAAATTATCTGATATCTCCGTGTGTACTGTCTGAGGATTTCATAAACTTTCTCCCTTGGGCCTGCAAAGGGAAGGACAGTAAGATATGTCTCGTTTGCATAGATCACCTTAGGCGCCATGCTTACCTTTGCAAGCATCTGGGGCAGAGAAGGGTCTCCTGAGGTCACGGTAGAAACCCGGCTTACAGCGCTGACAGTGCTGTCCTTCAGTATTGTGCTGACAGTTGTTGCAGACACCACCGCTGCGATTCCCTGACGCCTCCCACACATTGATGTCGAAGTGACAGGTGTCGGCATGCCCGTTGCACTTGCAGGCTGGCGGTAAAACAGCACAGGAGGGACTAAACACTGCAGCAGGTTCTCTCATGGTTGAGATGTTAAAATAGAATGAAGTCATTGTTACACTGAAATTTTATTTATTTAATACAAAAAGGAATATCTAAGGAAATATCTTGCTTTCCCTTGATCAGGGTGCCACTTTAATTTTATGCTTCTTATCTAGATTTCTGTTTTCCATTGTATATTGGTATTTCAAAGTGTTAGTATATGCATGAAGGTCATTGTGATGGTTAGAGTTAATTGCTAACTGGACAGACTCTAGATCACTTGGGAAATTGGCCTCAGCATGTCTGGAGATTATCTTCATTATGTTAATTGGTGTGGAAGGAGCCATCATAATTGTGGACCAGGCCAATCTTTGGGCATGGAGTTTGGATTGTACAAAATGGAGAAAACAGTTGAGTACTAGTATGCATTCCCCGTTGCCTGCTTCCTGACTGTGGATACAATGTGGCCATCCTCTTCAAGTTCCTGTACTCCACTTTCCTGCCGTGATGGACTGTGCCCTTGAACTGTAAGCCAAAATAAACCCCTTATATGGCTTTTGTCAGAGTATTTTATCACAGCAACAGAAAAGGAAATTAAATCATTTATCAAAGTGAAGATATGTCCATTGAGGCAAAGATATTCTGGTAACCCTGTAGACTGAGGTGGGTGTTTCTTTTGGAAAGATATTTGAGAGGTCACCTGTTTTCCTCTTTGATGGTAATACTTGACCATTTCTATTTCTGCTACCTTCTGAGGATCAGTGGATCTCTTAGTGGAGAAAAACCTAAGACTCTTGGCATTATTTGAAAAATACAGGGTATGTTGCAGATACAAACCATAATTCAGGCTCACCCATGAGCCTAGAAAGAAACATCTGGTGGACAGTGAACAGAGCCTAAGTATCTCTCTCTTGTGGAACTAAGATTAAACCCAGGGCTTAACATGTGCTATTGTGTGTGCATACATGCGTGCGTGTATGTATATGTGTGTGTTTGTGTGTGTGTACACACCACTGCACACACGTTTGCATATCAAAGGACAACTTTAGGGATCAGTTCTCTCCTTCCACCATGTGGGTTCCAGCTGGAACTCAGGTGCCCTCTTCCTTCTACTGTGTAGAGCCTGGGGATTGAACTCAGGTCATCAGGCTTGGTGGCAAGCATCTTTACAATTTGAGTCCTATTTTTGGCCCACCTTTTTACTTTTTATTTTGAGATAGAGTCTTACTTAGTTACCTAGGCTATCCTTGAAGTCACTTTATAGTCCTGGCAGGCTTTAACTTTGGGATTCTCCTGCCTCAGCCTTTCAAGTACCTGAGATCACAGGCCTGAGCCATCAGACCTGGTTTAAGTTATTGTCTATGGAGTGACATTTCTCAGTTGTTGTCATTTGGTGAGTATAAGGAAGTCCACTACTGAAGCCTCGGTTTATAGAGGGACCTCCGTGCTCCTTATGTAATAATTTCTCAATGACATCTCTAAACTTATCAGGCTTTAGCTCCAAGTGACACGTCTCTGTGTCTGTGTATTTAGATATGCAGTGGGTTTCCATGGAAAGGACCAGAATGGCACTCTAGGAATTTAGGAGAAATTCTTTAGATTCTCTTGATAAGTGATTTAGGAAAAGAATCCAGACATCCCCACCCTTATCCTGGAAGTCAACTGTATTTGAAAATCCTAGAGCTATTTTTTTTTCATTGTTTCCTCCACATGTCATGGTATTTTTCCCAGACTCGTATCTTTAAAAGGCAGATGATAGTTTGATATTTATGCTTAGAGGAAATCCTTTATATTTCTTAGAAATAAATGCATTCTGATTCCAGATTGTGTGTGGGGAGAGACTTCTTGGAGATTTGTTCACGGTACAAACAGTTTCAAAGCTGCCAAAGGATTGAGTGGGCAAGAACATGCTATTTGCTTGGACACTTTGGGGGACCTAAATGCTGTCCACGAGAACCTGACATGGCACAAACATGAGTAGACACACGATTTAAAAATCCTCCCAAAATAGTGTTGGGACTGGAAACATTTCTGTGGGCACGTGTTTCTCAGAACATCTGCCCATTTGAATGATAGCCTGCTACCATTGGACCAGACAGAACACTGTAAACTACAAATGGAAAAATGGTTCATTTCCTATGCCCTATCTTCCCTTCTCCATATGCAAACCCCAAATTAGTCCTAGTAAAACAATCCCATCCTTGACGTGCTGGTTTAGTTTCAGGTCTAATCCATCAGTGGGGAAAGAATCTGATGGACCCCAAAGACTGGGGATCAAGTCCTTATTCCTTCTTTTTCTATCTCTGGCCAGACGTCTAACCTTACAGAGCCTCAGTTTCCTGATTTCTAAAACAGGACTGATACCATCTGCTCTCTCGGGTGGTGTTGTGAACTGAATTTAAAAGAGCTGCTTCATGGTTAGCATCCAGTATCGCAGCTATGAGCGCAGTCGCACGCTATAACCCTTAGTTGCTCGGGTGTCTGCTCATGTTTGTATCATGTCAAGTTCTCAAGGACAGCATTTAGGTCCCACAAGTGTCCAAGCAAATAGACAGCACATCCTTGACCACTCAGTCCTATTGGTAGCTCTACGAACTAACAGTTTCCAGTGGCTGGAGTCACGCTGGCCAATGATGTGGGTATATTTCGTATAGCTTCTGTCACCTACCACTTTATATTGTGTTTCAAGAGATAAGAAGGAATTCACAGATAAGTGCATTCTACAAAGAAGGCTTTTGATACTTACTCCTGCACTCGTTAGGAGCCCCTGTTCTGCCGTCTGCTGCCTCCCAGGGCCGGTCATTGTACAGCGGGGCACAATGTTGGCAGTGGCTGCCCGCTGTGTTGTGTTTGCACATGCACTTCCCATGCACCTGCAAAGCAACCACGTCAAGTCAGAGCTGGGAGCATGGGCCGCGTCACCAAGGAAGAAACTCTCCCTTCATCTCGTGGCACCCGTTGCTTTCAGCAGGAAGGCATTAATTCACTTTTTTTTTTTGAAGAAGTTAGCTAGCATGAGGAATAATTGTTTTTGACTGTCTTGTGATTAACCCCTCTCCCCTCAAAAGAAACAATACGTTTTCTTGGCTATAGGATCTATGACCCTAATAAGAAACTCTGCAGTATTGGCTAAGTATTTAAGTCAATTTTAATATCCTTAGTTAAAAAAATTCTTAGTTTAAAATAAATAGTGCATCTTTACTGTAGAAAATTTAGAAATTTGTAGTCTTTTTAAAAATATTAATATCAACATTTGAATATATGTGTATATTTCTAGTGCCTTAAAATGCAATTAAGGACTTGTTCTACATAACATGTTAGGAATATGTATCTTTGTGGTAGGGTATGTGTCTAGCATGTGTAAGACTCCTGGGTTCAATTCCTAGACCCCTACCAAAAAAAAAAAGAAAAGAAAAGAAAAGAAAAAAGATTCATATGCTTTTTTTGTTTTGGTTTTTCAAAGCAGAGTTTCTCTGTGGCTTTGGAGGCTATCCTGGAACTAGCTCTTGTAGACCAGGCTGGTCTCAAACTCACAGAATCTGCCTGCCTCTGTCTCAGGAGTGCTGGGATTAAAGGCGTGCGCCACCAACGCCGGCCACAATTGAATCCTTGAGGTTCATCTAACATAGTGTGTTTCTCAGAGAAGGATGCTTTGGTAGAATTCATAAGGAGATATTTTTGGCCCTTATTTCACTGACAACATTAGTGTCACCTAGTAAGAATTACCGGGATACTGATACAGTGACCATAGACAAGAAACTTGGTAAAGTAGCTTTGAATGGGGTCTATAACTATGAATCTGCAAGTTTCTGTTGAAAAACAGTATTTAAAACAATTCAGCATAAAGGTAACAAATCATGTCAATCTGTCATTGAATATTTATTGGTGATCTAGAAGGTACAATCACTATGGTACACTGAGTTTGGTACTCAAAATATCACCTTTCTAGTTATTTTTACTTATATGTGTATTCTAATATATGTCACATGTGTTCAGTTGCTTTCAGAGGCCAGAAAAGGAAGCTGGGTTCTTTGAGCTGAAGTTACAGGCTATTGTGAGCTTCCTGGCCTGGGAACTGAACTCGGGTCCTCTGGAAAAGCCCAAGGCACTTTTAACTGCAGGACCATTTCCCAAGCCACAGCATTTCTTTTCTTTAAGAAAGAACGAGGAGTTGGTGGTTGTGGAGAGATGGCTCAGTGGTTCAGAGCACTGGCTGCTCTTCTAGAAGTTTGATTCCCAGCGCCTACATGGTGGCTCACAACCATCTATAACTCCAGACCCAGAGATCTAACACCTTTTGGCCTTTGTGGGCAACCGGCACTGCATGTGGTGCGCATACAGGTAAAGTAGTAGTAGTAGTAGTAGTAGTAGTAGTAGTAGTAGTAGTAATAGTAATAATAATAATAGTAATAATAATAATAAAAAAGGATTTGGGTGGTTTGAGAGATGGCACAATGGTTAGGAGCATGTACTGCTTTTCAAGAGGACCCAACCCTAGTTGAATTCCCAGCAACCATGTCAGGAAGCTCGCAGCTGCCTGTAGGTCCAGCTCCAGAGGAATCCAACACCTCTGGCCTTTCTAGACACCTGCACTCTTGTGTGTGCACCTGCCCATGGGTGTGTTCATGCACACATATATACATAATTAAAATAAATTTCTATAAAGGAAAGGACATAGTACAATTGGAGCACAAAGATTTCCAAGACAATAAATAAATGCAAAAGAATGAAAACGATGTTGGGACTCAAAAGATTTACAATTGATCATAGGTTGACAGATGTGGAGGGCACTAAGAAAGGCATGGGGTTTGATCAGGCTGCATTTCTGACAAGCTGAGAAGAAACTTCCCAGGCTATGTAATAAAGTAAACCAATGTGTAAGGGAAATCTGTGAGCAAGTGTGGACTTTGAGGCTGGGTCTTGAAGGCTATGCAGGATTTGCATCATGGATGGAAATGCGATGATGAGAATTGCAAAGGGATGTCCAAAGAACAGTCAATAAATCAACCAGAGTATGCATTAGGGACACAGGCTTGGTCTAGAATGATCATGGCATTCGTTAAATGTCAGCTCCAAGAGTCTGGAATTTATCCTGTGTATAATGCAGGTACAAAAGATTTTTAAGTAAAGAAATAATTGGGGAGCGTATTAGCTACACTTGCTTTTGTTCACCTTCAAGAATAAGTTTGTTCACCCCTGCCCCCAGCTTATGTCTCCCAGTAGCCAGTGACACTGTTTAAAAGGTAATTATTTTTATTCCTTGTTTGTATCTTTTCAACCCTTTTGGCATCCATTTATGATATTGAAAGGTATTACTAATTTTCTTTACAGAAACTCAACTGTTGCCAAGAATCCAGTTTATCAAGTTCAGTCTTGGAATGTCCAAACCCTATACATAATTTTACCCAACTCATAGGGTATTTTGTCCCCCAAATCCTAGTCCACAGGAGCTCACAGACATTTGGGGGCAACCTCGTCAAACATTCACATGTATCACAGGATAATATTGACAGGCCTGTTTCATCCAGAGCGTTCCTTTGTTCCCATCTGCCAAGGACTGAAATGGACCTCCCAGGGTCTGAAGACGCTGGGACAGCAAATTTTTCTGCACATAGAAAAATTCAAGGAGCTGTCATTTTGAGAATTACCAAAAATAGCTGTAAATCATTACCCAGACAGTTTGAGACGAGAAACCCTTCCTCAGCGATGCAGCTGCTGCTGTTCAAGCTTGAAAGATCACCCACTATTTGATGCTCGTGAAAAATGTGCAAGTAAAACTAGGCATTCCCCAGGAACAAACAGGAAAAGGAAACTTTGGTAATAAGTTAAACATAACTCCTATTTCGTACATAAACATAAACTAGGTAAAGAATAAGAAGACAGAGCTATGCACCGAAGAGTTCATCTAACATTGCTGTCTGGTTGTCTAACTGGAAAATGAGAATCTTGACCACAAAACCACAACTTGTAATTAATCGAGGTATTTGAATTTTGTAGGAGTTTCAGAAATACCTCTGTTAATTTCAAGAATACTTTTCTCTTTCAATGTCCAAAGCAACCCCCCCACCCCCCACCACTGGACAGGATTTCTCTGTATATAGTATTGACTGTTTTGGAACTTACTGTAGACCAGCTGGCCTTGAACTCACAGAGATCTGTTTGTCTGCCTCTTGAATGCTGGGTCTTGTGCTACCACCTCCCAGCTCCCAGTCAAAGCTTTTATAATTGCACACAAGTCTCTTTACCACTAAAATAAACCTATTTCCTACTCATTTTTAGCACATTCCTCCACTTGTACAAACTTGAAACAAGCCACTCAAGGAATTACTGGACCAATGTGTTCATTATGAACGGTGCAGTTTTGTTACAGTAATCGTGTGTTAAAACCAGAGAGATAAGGAAAATATCTTTTCATATTTGAAGCTGCAAAATAAGAATTTAGGTGGGGCCAAAAATCAGGCACGATTGCCTTTCAGGCTGTCAGAAGATTTTTATTGGTTCATTTGTCTTCTGTCATGTAACTGAGGACATTACTCATGGCAAGAGATGATGGGAATCTGGTTATAGTTAGTATCAATAACTTTTATTTGTATGTAGATTTTTAAATGTAGATTAAAACATTGATTTTTGTTTTTAATTATATATGTATCTGTGTGTCTGCACACCAGTGTGTACATACGTGAATGCTGGTACCTTCAGACTCTAGAAGAGGGTGTCAGATCCCCTGAAACTGGAGTTATAAGCAGTTGTGAACCTCTAAATGGGTGCTAGGAACCAAAAACGGGTCCTCTTCAAGAGCAATATGTGCTCTTGATCGCTGAGCCATCTCTTCAGTACAAAGATGTTATAGACTATTTCAGTATTAAATGGAAGATTGGTTTAGACGACCTTTAAAAATGTTTGGAGTCCTTAAAAAATAGTGCAATGTCAAGGCCTGCATCTTTGTAGTCTGGAAGCTGTCCAGCTGTAGGCATCTAGTCAATATCCACAGTCCTTTCTGAGCCATCAGAGGGCCTGTTGCCCTCTCACCAAAGTCAGAAACTCTGACATGAAACACAGAAGAGCCAAGAGCACATTTCTTATCTCTTGCCCTGTGTAGCACAGATAAATGAACATGAATAGTCTGGAGATGGAGTTTCACTTGGCTTAGAGACCGCTGAAGTCATCTTAGAGGAAAGATTGTTCTAATTATTCTTCCCCAATAACCATGTACTTTGTTACCTAGTGATGATGTGTCTCCGTATCAAAAGGGCTAAGATGATGTGCCTGTGGACTTCACCATATCAAAAGGGCTAATGTTTCATGGGACTCATGTTAATTTCTTTAGGAAATGTCTGACAAAATCAGATCCCTACCATTTCTGAGAAAGGAGGTGCAACCAGAGTTTGAGTCTTTTGTTCAGATCCTACAGAAAACAGTCGTGCAAGCTACTGGAAGCATGTTTTACAATCACATATTAAGAAATTTGGTTGAATTTCAAAAATGGAGTAATTTTCTTGTCTGTGATTATTTATATACACATGGTTTTATTTTCATTACTGTCAATGTTGAATTCCAGTAGAAAATGAATATTATTATCATTAAAACTTAAACATTTGTGAAAAAGAACAGAGTCTGTGAGCCAAGAACGCACACTTGATGGTGGCAATGGCCTCTGTTTAACTCTGATTACCTAGAGTGAAAAGAAGTTGTATATCCTTTTAAGAGCAAATTGGAAGAAAAACTGGTTAATTTCCGAGGAGATAGTATATCCCTCTTAGAGAAAAGGATTAGCTTCTAAAGGAACAAACTTCTTCTGCATGAAAAGAGAAAAATTCTAACAGGCTAGCCTGCTGGAATCTGCTCTTCTTATATGGGGCAAAAGCACAGCAAT